TCAAAACTAAATACATTTAAAATGATGTAAGCTTATTTAAGCCATCTCATCAGTGATACAGAATGGCTTTCTATAGCAGATATTTTCTAAATAGGTTCCAACTTTTCTGCTTGAATTAATGGCAGTTCCTTGTGTCACTTCAGTGTCAAAGGTCATGCTCAGTTAGCACTAATCTCAAAATGTTGCTTTAAACACAGAGACACATATTCTGATTTGCTGAATATTGTTCCAGGGTTCCTTAATATATATGGTGGCAGGTCTGAGACAAGGTCAAGACTATTAATCACTCAAAGTGATTGGTATCCATTGAGAAGTTACTCTTCCCCACCTATTTCAAATTTCAGCACATTCCCCCCAAATGCCTGCTAAATGGTGGCTAATGCTTCAATTTCCCCAGAGGAATTTCAAACCTCTGGGTGCTGTAATTGCTGGAACTGCTCTTAGAGAACCATGACATTTAATGTAATGGTCTGTCATTTTTCCACGTTTGGGTGATATTTATATTTAGCCTCACACCCAATGCCACTTTATTGCCCTACCACACAGGTCACAACAGTAAGAAACAAATGGTTCTCCTGAAGAAGCAATAACCTTGGTTAGCTTTATAACTATCCCATATGATATCTTTCCCTTCAACAGACTTGGACCACAAGGGAAATTGGAAAGTTCAAAACTACCTTAACTTTTTGAAGACCATTTTTTGGGGAACAATTCCAAAGGACATTTCAAATAGAAGTGATCTTTCACTCAGAGTTAACTCAAACATCCAGCATTTGCATTTTTCTATAAATGACAAAAACCTGACCTTAAAATTCACCAAACGTCTGTCAAAAAAGTCAGTTGAGCCTTTCTGTGTTTTACTTTGGTATTCTACATTTATCCATATTTAGCATGTATCATCCCTGCCTCGATCTGCAGACAATGATATTAAAATAAATTAAATTAAAGTGTTTAGGTAAAACATTATAAAATAATGTAAAATCTTAACTCGTAATACTTTTAATTCATTTTTCTATCATATCAAATTTGAAAAACAATACTCTAATACTCTAATGTCAATTCACAAAAGAAACCAGTAAAAACAACAACAGGGCATATAACAACCGTAAGCTGAGTCAGTACTCTGTGCTGATTTGAGCCACAGACCTGACTCCAAACACATTCAAGTTCATGTGGAGTTGTTTTTTTAATATTCAAGGAGTTTTGGACGCCCACCCACAGGACACACAGATGCACAAAAACAGACACACACCTTTTTGCTGAGCCTCATTCTGATTTTATTTGGCAATTTCAGCTGGAACAGCAGCTATCTATATCAAAAAACAAATGATCACAGAGGAAAGACATTTTTTGTGTGCAATTTAAATGACCTTTTTTTTTACAAAATATCTAGAAACAAATGTTTCATTTGGACCATCAAGTTAGTTTTCTGAGGGACTGAATTCTAATTCTACTATTCTTTGTATAGTTCCCAAACATTAAAGAAGAAAAAAACATTCTCATTCAATCAACTTTATAAAATTGCAAGTGATATTTGTGCGGGACACTGCCTGCAAAAGACTTAAAAAGATTTAAGTTTTAGAATCCCTTTGTTCGTTTGTTTGTTTGTTTGTTTTTTTTTTTTGTTTTTTTTTGGATTTTGTCAGCTTGGCATGAGATTGAATGAAAGCACTATCTGTCTTGAGGTATTAGCCTTTTGTACTTTGTTTTTACACTGTCTGTTCTGGTGGTAGTCAATTGCATTGACAGAGTAAGTGCAGCATTTGTTGATGTTCTTGTAATGTGTTACAGCAACAAAGCAAAGAATGCACTGGATTCTACATTACTCCTAAGGCTTGGTGTTGAAATAGGTCTTTTCTGTGAAAAATGTAGCCAGCACTACCAAACTAATTCTACAGAGAACCAACGTGGCACTAATGATACACCATGTGTATTTGTTCAGTTCTGTGCGACTGACCCTGACTTGCTCTTATCAGGCTAAGGATTACATCAGTTCTGTTTGTTTGTGGGAAGGAGAGAAAGCAAGGTACAGACACACACACACACACACACAAAACAAAAAACAGAGCGAGCTATCAAGCGGAAAGATAACTATGGTTTCTCTACAGATTTTTTCTTATCACACATCTACTCTGTGCTTAAATAATCAATATGTTCAAGATGGGAAGGAAGTGGAAAGTAATCAAAAATTACTCAGTTTAAACTTTAAATTTGAGATAAAAAATAATGTGTATATTAGAAATTATTCTTGTTGTTCCTGTTGATTTTCAATTTATGAAACAAAGTCAGAAATAAATATTAAAATTGAAATATTTACTGGTGGATTTAACAGTGTTATTTCATTGCATGTATTTAAGTCAATATATTTATGGTAAAAAAAGCACTAATTTTAATCCAATGTAATTATTACTAATTTCTAATTTAAATTCACATTTTATTATTTATATTTTTAGACAACTTAGTCTATGTTGGAAAAAAAAATTTGGCATCAAACAGTCTCAATGAGAATTTTTCTGAATTCATGTTTCAACATACCAAATGATGACATTGTGCATGCTCTATATGGCATTTATGATTCCTTAATTTTCACTTTGTAACAGCTGAGTATTTGTAAAAAGAAAAACAACAGAGACAACTTAGTCTATGTTGGAAAAGAATTTGGCATCAAACAGTCTCAATGAGATAAATAGACAAAGATAGATTTTATTTTATTTTTATTTTTCCTCTTTGTTTGGGCTATTTGTAATATTTTTTAAAATCTGTACTAATAAATGACAGTAACTGCTAAAAGAAGTATCTTTGGCTAGTATTGGTCTCATTTTTGACAACGCCAATATGATTAGAAATACACATACTCCAACATTCCTTTCACCTTGGGACAGTAATCAACGGCGACACCATGTGAATGGCTTCCATCCACGGTGTGTATCACAGGGATGTTGGAAATGCTTCAGAGCTTCCCATCCATCTAAGTTTTAAGATGTCTCCATGGAGATGATTGACGAGAGTAAGAGGCTGCTGCGAAGAGAAGCCCTGGGTGAACTGATGAGATCACAAATCTCATCTCATTCGCTGTCTTATTCTCTTTTTCTTTCATAGTCTCTGTGCCGCTGTCTCCAACCTACTTTGTCTACAACAGCATACACAAACCAGAACGACACACACAGTGCAAATCCAAATATTTTTTTTATGATTCTGTTCTCCCTTTCATCTTGCACAGGAGAAAAGAGCACCGTGCAAGATGTGAATTGTGACTTTGAGCTGAATCTGTGGTTGACACATATTATATAGACTCACAAAGTGCACTCGCTCAGTGCTACAGACTTTGTTTTAGTCCCTTTTGTTGGAAATAACCCACAAAATGATCTTTCATCCCATGCAATCTGTGGTCTTTGACTAAGTGCTGGGCCCAGTAAATGAGTTCTGAATAGTTTGGTATTGCTCAGCAGTGAAAACAGATGTTCTACGGGCTTTGGTTGGAAGGTGAGCGAGGAATCGGTCCAAAATGGTTTGTCAGTTTGGTTACCGTGTGTGCAGCTGTGAGGGGACATGGTAATTAAGAGAAAGGACACGGCCACATTTAACACATCTTCGAGGAATTTTGGTAAATAAAACTTTCAGAACCTGGGCTCTCAACCATGGCCGGAAGCTATGAAAACCCTTGATTTTTTACTACCGTGTCTTTCTGTCATTCTGTTTCATTAGTGTAATGACCCACCGATTTAGCTTTTATGTCACAAACTGAATTGAGTCTGGCTGTGGGCCAAGTTAATCACAGCCATGGCCGACTGAGCATCTTGGCAAAAAGGGGTGATTAAATCGACTTCAAGATGTGCAAAGAACCAGAGTTCCTGTGTCTCTACATGATGATCAGGACACAGGCTGGTAGCACTGCACCTGATGGCTGCACCCATTTTCTCTCACAGGGTTGGGAGGGGAGGCCATTTGGTAAGCCTCACACAGATTTAGCCAAGTGAAGTGTGTGTTGGAGGGATGTGGATGGCTTAGAGTGGGAGCAACAGATGGGCCTGGAAACACAGATGAGGGTCGGAGTGTGTTTGTATCTTACCCCCATCCAACAGCAACAACTTGAAAGCCTTGGTGTGATAATGCTCTGATTGGTTGAGATTTAACTCACCCACTGTGGCTCACCTTCGGACAACATTACACTGCTACACTACAGTGCTGCACTGAGCAAATTCTGTTTTTCCCTTATTAGGTCAACATTCTCACCCGCGGCTCTCCTGCCAATTTCAAAGCTGTAACTGGCGAGCTTGGTTCACTGGCACGTTAGATGTGTAATTTTTTGCAAGGGCACTGTGAAAGGAGGCAGTTGAAAGTGTAATGTGTACGAAATGTATCTCATTAAGTCATAAAATTGGCACAATGCTGTGTGTAAACTGAGGTTAATGAAAACGGGTGAAATTGTTTTTTTTTCTTGCCGGTGGAGTCTGTTGTTAGAAGTCGGTAAAGAAGTGCCTGTTACTACATATCAAGAGTTGGTACTGTGGGAATAAGAGGTAAAAGGTCTACATTTATACATCTATGAACATTTACACTTGTTGCTTGAACAACTTTTGTTGACAACACTAGCAAAAGAGTCTGTATGGCAACTGGAATGAGAGACATTTAAAAGCCAGGTGTGAAAATAATGGTTGAAAAAAATTAGATACACCTAAAGAAAACATTTAGAACGAGAATTTTTTTTTTTAACACACACTACTTTTAACACTTCTACATGATGATTCCATCTAATACTGAAATCTTTGTAAACTTCTTGAAGGGCTATCGTTTATACCAGGTCACAACTTGATTTTTGTACCTGTCTGAGGGCAAAATTTTGAGTTAAACCTTAGCATATTGTTCTCACTTCAATTAGTCCTGATTAGTCAAGTGAAAACAGGGGTCTAACCATTGTTATTCTCTTTCAGCAACGTACGAATGATAATTTTGAATGTTTTTTAAATTATCTCAATTAGTCATAATTAATTGTGATTGATTCTGATCCGCAACTACTTAATGTTTTGTAAGATTTAACATTTTAAACATGATGAAAATGATTATCAATTAGAACCAAAAGAGCAAAAGGGGAGACCAGGTTTATTCTTCTGGGAATGCAGAGAATTGCCCAGAAGCCTTCTAGACGCAGAATGTTCCTCCTAAGAAAAAAAAAGTTGGACATTCAGCAGTTTGACAGGATTAATGTTTTTTGCCCCCATCCGCCTGCAGTTCCACCTTTCATACCCCAGCACTCCCTCAGTCATGTCTGATAGTTTTGCCTGACAGAGCCCATTTTTCTGATGAAGGACACAGAATACAAATAATGCCACATTCTTTTCACCAGGACCAAACAATGGGAAAATACCTGCATCGACAAAAACACGGATCGTCAAAACATGCGCTCTGCACTTTCAATAAAAACATGTTTATAATACACAGTTTGGACATTTTCTCAGATAGACTTCCCCACCACTGTCTCTCCAAACTTATAGTCCATCTTCACAGTGGGTCACCTCCGACCTTTCATCTTAACTGGGTCTGTCGCTACATCTGGTCATCGTCAGTTACCATACACCGACACATTCAAACGCTGCTGTAACTACGAGCCTCTTCAGAGATGGCCATTTGTCCCCATTCATCTTACACACTGCTCCCACTTTAACATATTGGCATTTCTGAGGTCCTTGGTGGTAATTGTCAGCCACATTGTGGCTCCTCGTTTGTTTCGCTGACATTTTGCCTTTGCTTGATTGTGTATTTAACAGGGGGAGGGAAGCGAAATTAATTGGAGAGAAGCTCTAATCTGTCTGCTTGAAATGTCACCCCTGTATTGTGATGCCTTCACTGACACGATGGAACATTAAGTGGCCATACTAACAGAGACAGAGGTATTTAAAGAAAGGAGAAAGTAGAACAGGGCAAAGAAAAACCACCTTTTAGTAGTCTGTGTTTGTCACAGTGGATTTTAACCCCAGTGTCCCCATGACATTCACAAATTACCAAGTATGTATTTTGTGAGAGGCTTTATTGTGTCGCTGAGCCCTGATGATCAAAGAACACATATCTGTTGTCTTGTTTTGAAGCTTCAAACAGTGAATCAACACGAGGTTTGTCATTCTACTCAAACCCAGTAGGAACAGAGAAGCATGCTTGTTTGCATCAAGGCCATAACTGGGAGTGTATACATTGATCAAAGAGTGATTATATTATTATTATTATTACAGTATTCTGGAGGGTCTGTATACAGTTTATTCTACAAGTCATTGTTTGATCACCACAGCATCTTAGCCTTTTTAACCCCCACATTTATTTATTCATATGATTTTATGTAATTTCTTGGGCATGAGCCTTCGATTTACAATAGAAAACTTTCATTTTTTAAATGGAAAGTACATATCCAGAATACATGTGCCGACTTAACAGTACTGCACAGACAGAAAGCACACATTTCTTCTGAAAACATTTTCAAACACTAATTGCCGGCATCACTCTCAAATTTCAATTTTTTTTACCCTTTTATATCCGCAGCAGATGAGACACCAGAGACAAATATAAAATGTCGTTATGACTTTTTCAGCACAATATAGATTAGAGTCAGTGGTTTGAGGTTTTTTGTTTAAAATGTCAGTTTGTTTTATTTTCCCTTATTTTTCATTTTCATTTAATGAGTTTGTCCTAATGTGATTGTCAGAAGCAGAAACAAATTAACTTGTTTTGATTCAATATGCCATTTGATTCCACATTTGATTGTTGTTGTTTGGGCTTTAATGTTCGTTTTTATAACTACAATGCAGCTTTTATTCTTGCTTTAAAATGTGTACGCTTTCACTTTAGCTGTCACCTCTTCTTCCATCTGTGAATGTTTTATATGTACTTATAGCATCTGTACTGTCTGAACAGTCTCTGGTCTGGAGCCTAACTGCTGTTAATTCGCTCACCTTTGTTTTCCAGAGCTGAGTAAATATATGTTTCATTTCTTGTTATACGAGTTAATCTCCATTTCCTTACCTTTATTTAAATTAATTCACCTTTATTCTTGCAGATTGTGTCTTTTTGTCATACATATGACTGAATGGAATCTTACATTTAATACCTAAACTGCAAAAATGATGTGTTACGTAATTTCAAAGTTTTATGTTAAAACAAGATACTTTTTGTACGATGCAAAAGCTTATCACAGCTTATCAAAATTAACGAAAGTATCTCATAATAAAACAGTCCTTCACATAATAACATGACAGTAGGTCATTATAATGTGATAAGATTCTATGTCATAATAAAGTGATACATCATCTCATTACAATGTGAAACTTTTCACATTACAACATGCAGCTTTTTCCAGATATTTCAGGCGTATAATTTAGGCTGCTGCCTTCCTCATGGCTCCCCACAGTGAAAACTCTAATGGTATTTCTACCTCAAGGACACATCAGCATGTGGCTGTAATGAAACTCCTGACCTTCTAGTTGGAATGCACCCCATGTCTGCCTCGTGATATTATTTCAAAATATGCAAAATATGAATCCAAAATTTATATTTTGCATCCTTACTGGTAGTCAGGTGGAAACTGAAGTAAAAGAATGCAGATTTCATTTTCTATATAAACAGGTTCTCTACAGGGGGTGCTATAAACAGAATTGATTTGCTCTCCCAAAGTACATGCAGGAAGTGTTTGTGTGTCAAACTACTTCAGCTAGTATTGCCACAAAGTACATCATCACAATCAATTGAGTCATAATGTGATTTTTCCCCCCTTTTTATATATTCAATGCTTATAAGATAGAATTTTATATTTTATTTTAGAGCACATTTTTATCTTACAATGATAATCATTGTGTTTCATTTAACAAGGCTGAAAACCAATGGGCTGTAGTGTAAATAAATAACATCTAAGCTGACTACACTAAAGTCAAATCCAAAGCACATGCAAATTGACCATTATTATATTATTTGTACATCATTCAATACCAACATGCATACTGTTGTGCAACTGTATTTGTCCTTTAAAGTTGACTTTCAGTATGACATATAAAAGAAACACAATCGTCCTATATGGTAATTACCATTACCTGTAGACTGGGTATTAAAAATAACCAGAACAGTGAAGCTGCCAGTAGCACTTTAGAAGTGGAGTAGAGAACATATGGCATCAGAGTGGGTCAGAAATGGATCCAGAAAATAAACAAAGCTTGGTTGTTGCACAACTTGTCCTGAAAACCAAAGTAAGATTCTAAAAAAAACAAAACAAAACAAACAAACGAAAAAAGAAATGTGATGGGTTAGGTTTAACAGTGACATCCTTTATGCAATTTATATTTGAAGGGATAACAATAAATGTAGAATGTGATCTAACCAATAATAAACAGGAGAGAATATACAGTATACTTCTATAGAATATACAAGTAGTGGAAGTAGTTGTGGTTGAGACTTACATATAAACCAGCGAAGACACATTCCACACATGGCCACGACCTGAGAGATCTGAAGAGCTCGTCCACACTCTGCGCTCATTAGACAGTCGCGTGTCTTTAGGCAGCACTTAGGGCAGCTGCTCTTTGAACTCCCCTTCTTTTTATCGGATTTCTCCGACTCTGCATAGCTTGGTGGTTGATTCCGAACGGTGTCCGGATGCTGCATGTCCCATTCTTCACTGTTACCTTTTCCCATTGTGTGTTTTGTTTTTCTTTCTTTTCTTTTTTTAATCAAAGTTAGACAGGGTCTGTGAAGAAACAAAATGTGAATAAGTACGAAAGCTTGAATCCTTTCAAGAATTATTAAGATGCCTTCGTTGGTCAGCTAAGAGTGAGTAAAAAATGGTATTAGTATTTGTCAGCCTTTGATGACATCACTAATTTGGGTGTGTCCCATGAGACTTTACAAGAAAAGTATTTGATGATTCAACTCTGAAAAACGTTTGCCTGAATCAATACACGTTATCTCAATATTCAACTCAACATTTAAAATAAAAAAAATAAAATAAAATTCAGTTTAATTAAAGTGACATTATTATCTACCATGGAGGCATATAATTAGGCCCACACGCTGAACTTGAGTCCTTTGAAGAAGACTTTATTGAGTAAAGTCACATTGATTTGACAGATTAAAATTTCTTACACAATAGCCATGGTTTCTGCCGCCCGCAGCTGAGCCCCTCTGTTTTAACTGTCACATACAATGGCTCCCACCAGACATTATCAGATATTAAGTGATAACCTTGATGAGGAAATCACATCTTATCTTTGCCATTCGGTGACTCCCCATTTATAACAGCTGACAGTAAATTAGATTGCCAGCATCGGGAGAATATACCAGCGTTTTGAGTGCACCTTTCCATCTCATTGTACTTTCAAAACTTCATTGGTTTTCAATCACGGGATATGAAATTCCGTCACCCTCTGCCATTAAAGGGACTTAAAGGGTGAATCTGAAAAGTTCATTAAGAGTAAAGAGAGCGTCTTACCCTTTCCCAAAGCTTCACTTTTGCGTCAGTTTGAGTCTCTTCTTTTTTGTTTGTTTCCTCAGAGAGATGCAGTGAACGAACAATTCACACCTGACAGACACAATGTTAGGAGCAGTGTGTTGTTGTAAGAGACTCAGCCCACTTGAGCTGAACAGGCGTGTCATCAGGTTTTACAGGTTTTAAGAAATTCAATAGTCTGTTTACCAGTGACCCACAAAGAGAGAGCCTGTTTACTGTAATCCAAGATTCAGAGGGCAGCTCCGAGGCAGAGTATCACAACACAAGATAGACAAATAAATACAAACCTTTTTTTTGTCTAGAATGTGCTTCACTTTTCTGCAAGAAGAATTTGTTGCATAAAAGACACACTTTGAGAAACTGTTCATGTTTAGCAGTAGAGAAAGTCCAAAGGTCTACCTCTATTTCTTGGGCAAGACATTGAGCTGATTTTACTTAACTGCCATGTTTTTAAAATTTTATGATATTTTCTGTTTCTAGTCATTAAAAAGATTTTAAAAGATCGGAGTAATTTGCAATTAAATATTTAAATCAATTGATAATATTTTCCTAATCTCCTTTTAGCTTTAAATACATATTGACGTTAACTGCGAGTTGTGAGTGTATGTTTTGGGAAATGCACCAACTGGATAAGGAGTTTAAAGACGGATTGATATTAATCTTTAATTTTCACAGAATTTTCAATTAATTTCACTCTTCAATCATCGAGCAGTGTTGCATTATGTCGTGAATTACTGATCCACTTCCTCCCAGCTGTGTGACAGAAAAGGTACAAACAGCGTGTCTCTCAGTTGTCAAGGAAGCACAATCAAGTGTTGAAAAAATAATTACACGAGATAATTAATCGATTAGGTTGACCATTTAATTACACCACGAACAATGAAAATTCACGGAAAGACAATTTGCAAAGCAATTTGGATTCATCTGAAGGATTTTGTTCATTCTCTGCTCAGGAAATATTCTTTTGGAATACGCAGCTAAGAGCTAATAAAGAGCTGGCTGAAAGTAGAAATAATTGTTTTTAAATGTAATTGCATTTAAATAATCAGTAATTTCCCTTTAACAAGTCAGCAAATAAATAATAAACCACTTCTCTAAGATATTGCCTTTGCTTGCATTTAGCTGTCGTCGCAGCTGGTGGGTTTTTAATAAAGTGAAACCACCTGCACTTTTAACACTAGTTACATTCTCACTATGACGAAAATTTGCCTGCAGTCTCTATAATACTGAGTTACTGTAGAGCACCAGCATCTCGTTGTTTCTTTTAGCAAATACTCCTAATGAACTAATGCCTGGACGTCCACGGGGAAGGTTTCCATGTCAGCCTAAAGAAAACTCCAAATCAGAGGCAGATCAGAAACCAGACTACTTCCTGTCTCATTAATGGTAAATAAGAAAAAATAAATAAATAGGATGCACTTAGATAGAGAGAGAGGATACACTATGGAGTTTAAAATAAGATCCCATGTGTTTTATTTAGATCATTAAACGTATAAAGTTTTATTTGGCAGAAACCAATCCTTTACTTTCTCTGTTGCAGTAGTTTATTCACCAAACCAAAGTGTCTTCACTGTTCAAAACATGACAGAAAGTCCATTCTTTCATTTAATGAGCCAGTGCACCAGCCACTATTCTCCTCTGATGCAAATCCAAATCCAAAACAATTATCAATTAATTAATTAATTAACAATTACCCTTCCTCCCCCCGCCCCCCGACGTCAACACATTCACAGCTACTGCTTTTCAAAACACCAGAATTACCACACAACTGCATTTCTTGTTGGACAAACACATTTTATAAATCACTGTTCTTTTTGCCACTGTGACAGATACAGTGAATATTGAAAATAAGAGCACCCCCGAAGCCCCCACCCCTGACGTTGGGCACCACTGATTTAGGAAATGTATTGGGAATGAGATGTAAAAGTGGAGGTCGAATCAATTCTTGTATTTGGTGTATAACTGTCAGCTGAGGTTGGGTTTCGTCACAATTGTTTTATGAATTAGTCTTTTCAAATTAGTCATATTATTACAGTGCATTTAAATCATATTCTGAAACCAGGCAGTTTTGATGCAGACCTTTCTGGTCAAACTGCTCTCTATTTTCATGTTTGTTTATTGCTGGTTTTTTTTTTTTTTCACTGACTTTACTCACTGCCAGTTCTGGGTGAAACCTCAAGCCTTAATGCGTACAAATAGAAACAAACGGCCACTTGTCCAAGAAAACAAGCCAAAGTGACACAGATTGTATTTAATTATCCTCCAGATTTCTTTGTCCAGGCACAGTTTACAAAGATCACATCTGAGTTACCTTAAACTCAGGGAAAAATAAAAGTCACTTCAGACTAGTAGTGGAAACGAGGCTTTAGCCCGAATTGTCTAAAAGTGCATTTAACATCCTGGCAGGCTCAACATTAAAGGCCAAAGTCAGCAAGAATTCAGGGAGTGAAATTTTAAATGAATCTATTTGTTCATATATTTGTATTTCATCTCAGATTTCAAGTAAACATTATCTGGCACAGTGGAAACTTGATAAAGTCTGTGTCATATGGCTTTCTTTAGGTGGCAGTAGAAGACTGGTGAAACACATTACTTTTAATTATATCTGTATTTTTTTACGTGTGGTCCTAGCATAAAGTCTAATTAAACTGATTGAGTCGGTCAATGGAGTGAACATTTTTCTCCTGAACTCAGTGACTCTTACATATTCCACTCCCATTACACATACAATACAAAACAATCCGATGCTGTTCAAGGCGGAGATAGAAATTCATCATAAATGTATTTTCTCTGCTTCACGCAGCTTAGCAGAGAACGGCCATAACTGCCATGTCACCATAGAATTGTAACCCAATTGCAAAGTTATTTTCTCAAGTCATTGCCCTGTCCGTGAGCTGATGCATTCTGTTCCTTGTGGTTGCTCTTCACTGTGTTTTTATTAAACTGAAAATCATCAGGAAATTAAACAGAAGGAAACTACACAGCATCTCACGATTCATGACGTGGCCCTGAGAGGACTAGTCTATCATTCGTGTTCATTTCATCTAACCACACTCTCCATCCACGCAATGTCTTCCTCTTCTACTCCATCCTTCCTCATTCTAATGACTCAAATTATCTCTCCTCACTTCCCTTTCTTTTTTTATCTGTCACTCCCCCTCTCCTGCTGCTCATGTCCTCCCCTCACTGCACTCTTACTCTATACCCCGTAGTCTGTGCTCTCTGTGTTTTCACATTATTGTCACTTACATCCAGACTGTAATCCACACATATATTATTATTTTTGTGGCTCAATAATTATGCAGGTAAATGTGACAGTGATGGTTAACAAGCCGTTAGTGGCACAGATGTGAACTTTGTCATCCTTCAGGGCAGAACTGGTTGTAAACTCATCTACTATACCTTGGTAGCTCTATTAAAATGTGTAGAATACAGACATGATATTTTATTTGCTCTGACAGGCAACAACGACACCAACTGTCATTTTAGACATTGCTGCAGATTTGGTTAATTCAGTTTGACAGTAGTTGAACGCAGCCAGGCAGTTCCCTCTCATCAGCCGCCAGAGGAAAGTAACAGTGCATCTAGAGAAGCTCATGCTCAACTGATTTTAGCAGCCTGAGGTTAAAAGTGAGTTTGACCGCATATGAAATGCACCATTTAGCTCATGTTTGCCTTTCTACCCTCTCACCATTACGATAATTGGAAATAAAGCATCAGTGAAAAAAGTTTTTATTTATTTATTTATTTTTTTTACTTTTTTTATCTTCCTCTCTTCCCTGTCGAGCCTCCCAATTTTCAAATGAAGGCGCAATTAAACCTCATCAGTCTCGGACGGGAGGTAATGTTTGTCCAGTGATTCATGTAAGTGCATGTTTTATTTGAGTTTCTTATCTTGTTTCTGACCAGGACAATACATTTGTTAGATTTTTATGTGCTAATATATGGTAGAATTAAATGGCTGACTGCAGTCAAACAGACAATAACATAATGAAGAGCACCAACCCCACCATGTCAATCCACATAAGGGCTGCGTTCTGTAGGTAGCAATTACTCTGATGGCAGTCGTTTCTCTCCTCCTGCTCTTTGATGCTCCTTACTCTGTGAAGGAAGCCTTACACTTGATTAAGGCAGGTCAACCAATACTTAACAAACACAGGTGAACAACATGGAATGGATCATTCAACAAACTAAGAGACAAAATGTCAGAACGTGCTGTTCCCTGTCTTATTACTGACAGAACAGGTGCTGAAAAATATGCTTTGTGCTACATTGGCCCTCTGATGTATGATCTTTCCAATGTGGCTTGGCAACGTACACGAATCAGAGTCGATACACCCAGCGGTGATCAATAGTCATGTAATAGAATTATCTACTTAAAGCAAGTCAAGAAATGTAATTATTTACATCTTAAAGTAATAAAATGAAAAAAAAAGAAAAAAATGAACGTTGTCTCTTGATGATTACTTAAAACAAAACTTTGCTGTCTGTTATGTCAACAACTGCCCCAGTTTAACTCATATGGGTCATTACATCATTTGGCTAATGATGGCTTCCACACAAGTCCTGTGGTGTAGTATTCCACAAAGAGGGCTGTTAAAGTTGCCCGTTTCCTGTCTAATCATATTGATCATGTATTGCACTTGATTATTGATTATTACCCCCCCCTCTGTGTAATTCTGCGTCTTCCTAAATTGGAGATATTTGAAGTTTTGTTTTTCTGGCCTATAACTAATTTCTGATTAAGGGACATTTATGTTTACATTATGAAGCAGATTATGCAGAGGTGTCATAATTGAAGGTTAGAGAAACCTGTGTCAATGAGACAGAATATTATGGTTATTTAATAGTAGATTTGCTACTTGTTTTGTCATGGAATGAAAGAACTCTGTGTGTGTGTGTGTATGTGTGGGTGTGTACGTACACGCGCATGTACTGTATGTGCGAGAGTAGCAGGTATAAAATCATGAAATATGGTCCCAGGGAAGAGTGCAGCATAAAGCTGGCCACTCTAACTTTTTTAATTTGGATTGGCAAGTCAACTGCCAAGCTGGCAATATTTTATCTTGGAGTCATTTTCTGAACATTGTGCTGTGCAGCAGAGCGGCCCTCCATCATCTGTCAGAGGGAACTTTATTGA